AATAGTGGTTTATATTAGACCTTGCCTGTTATCTGTACAATTGCAGTAAAAAGGTGAGGATATTGAGTGGCCTGTGGCCTCTTCAGGTTTATCGGTTTGGTTCATTGTGTCATTTCATGGCCAAGTTTAGATCATCAAGATGCAGCAGATAACAGAACCAACAGTCACTTCTGTGAATCCCTTGGCACACTTTGGTAATAGTTTCACTGCCAGCTCTTCTCAAAAACACCAGTGTAGAGGGAGAAGGGTCTCTGCTCAAGGGCAGAAGAAGAATTTGAATTTATATTTTTCTGCTACACTGTAAAAAAAATCCCCTATTCAACATTGGCAATACTCGTATACAGGGTCATACTCACAAGGACAAAACGCAATCAGGAAAACACACAAGAAATGCATACTAACTAAATAACATTAAAATACATTACAGATCACAAAAACGAGAAGAAACTAAATGTTCTGTTCACTCTCCTTCAATCTCCTTAAATGTACAAATTAAAGGAATAGTTCACCCCAAAATTTAAAATGTGTCATCATTTACTCACCCTCATGTCGTTCCAAACTTGTATGAGATTCTTTCTTATGCTGACCATAAAATAAGATATTTGGAAGAATGCTGGTAATCAAACAGCTGATGATCCCTATTGGTTTGTGGCTGAGGTATGGGTGGCTGGCTGGTGTAATGGGGACCAACAACTGTTTGGTTCTTCAACATGTCTTCTTTTGTATTCAACGTAAGAAAGAAACTTATAAAGATGAAATAAATGATGACAAAATGTTCATTTTTGGGTGAACTGTTCCTTTAAGGTTGTAAACGTGGGATGATCTGTGTAATTAAGTTTAATACTTTAGTGTTCGTTCAAATCTCTAATGTTAAGTATGAACAATAGCAACAATGATACTTGCACAATTAATAAAATCACAATTCTTTATTAATCTGAATAATGGAAATCAAGCACCACAAGTGACTGTCATGTAGGTATCAAACGCCAGTATCAATGTCTCTATCTTTCAGGATTACGGAGTCACCTGTGCAAATGTCAAACAGATCTTTCTGAGAATCCTTGAATATTGCTTTATACAACAAGATGAGGTGTTGCTAAGAGCACTCAGTGTTGTTCTTCTCTGTCTTGATTACAAGAGCCGGGTCAGAATAACTAAAGTCTGCACTGACCCAGATAATCAGCACCACAGAAAGTCAGTTAACTGTCTCTTTTTCTCAAATACTCTCTCTCTCTCTCTGTGTTGTTGTGAGGAGAATCAGTATTAATCCGTCCCAGAGCAGATAACTCACTTTACACTGATCTGCAAGAACACAGGAAGCAAACACATTAAACCATCAACAAAATGCTCCAGAGGGAGCTTGTATGCATCTTGCTGTGTCAGAGGATACTGCTTTTATCTTCATCAGAATGATTCTAATTGCACTTTACTGGGTCAAAATGAATTACATTAGATACCTCCTGTCTCTTCCTTCCTCTCTATCTGTTACAAACACACATAGTTATGTTTCTGCATAATGTGGCCAGTGAAAGTGGATATATTTAGTGTGCTAATCCACAAGAGCAGTGGGACAGATGCTTGTCATACTGACCTCTTGTGTCCCCTGTGCAGATGTCTGCCCTCTTAACAATGTGGAGGTGGTTACGTCTTCATAGAACAGGTTTCCATTAATCTGACTGACTCCCTGCAACCTTTAACAATTCCAGTTCATTTAAAGGGGTCATGATAACTGTTGTTTATCTTTTATCATTATTATTATTTATAATGATAAATGATGTCAGCAAGGTTTATTGCATTAAGAAGAATCGTACATTTTCTTTATAATATAACATAATATAAAATTTCATGATATTTCCCCCTTTAAAAAAATCTGTCTCTGTAAATAAACTTCTCACTAAAACAGAGTACTTCCTCACTGACACGTCTGCTTTTACTGTGTAGCAAATGTCAGTTTTATGGAGTAATGGAAATGTGATGTCATCGTGGGAGCTCTCTGTCAAAAAAAACAAGGTCATCTTTAGCAGGGCTGGCATCAGTATGGCACTCGAGCTGACTGACAGAATGGTTTTCCAGTGACTGACGCCATATGCCAAGTGTGTGTGTGCCAAGGCTGTATCTAAGGTAACCATGTGTGCCTCTGGAGCCTTGTGGCAGTTTAGGGATGATAAATTATGCACTGCAGACTGGACTGGCTCACACTCACTCACTCAACTGTACATCCATAAAATGAAGAAATACACTTTCTTGAGAAAAAATAATAATTTTGATGTTCACAGTTTGCTGAGTTGTGAGCTCAGAATTTCTGATTATGTTCTGAATAAGTCAGAACTTTTATCAAGAAAACCCTTTTTGTTTAGTCACATCTGACTATGTGTGAACTAGTGCATTAAAATAAAGTGGAGTATGTAGATATTTATAACAGATCACTAAATATCGTTTAAAGAATTTATGCAACAAACTGCAGTAACATAATCTGTCCTCAAAGGGGTCATGAACTGTCTTTTTATTATTTTCTACTGTTTCTCTGAGGACCACTTATAATGTTATCAAGATTTTTACACAAAAAACATAATTTAGAAGTAATAGCTATTGTCTGTCCAGTTTTGACCCCCCTCATCAGAACGCTCTGTTTGAATAGGCGTGGCAGATTGTAGACTCAGAAGTAAACGCCCACTATTATGATTGGCTAATAGTTGTGTATGTTTGACAGCGTACACAGATTGACGCTTCTGTGTTTTAAGTTAAAAAATGCATAAACACTTATATCAAACAATCTGTAATAACAGACAAAGCAATAGTGACCATGTAATAAAAACAGTTACTCACACTTGTGTGGTGCGACATTACTATCGAATCCAATATAGTCGGCACAGCATCATCTTTTAATTCCAACCTTTCTGAAAATCCCGAGAGGAATTGTGCTTTGTTTGCAAACGAATCTGCAGTAAAATGAAGTGAACAAAGGACCGAGTTCTTACTGACACAGTCTGTCACATAATTAAAAATAAAGTTCATCCACTCTTTCCTAACATTGGGATCAGAAAGAAGGCAATGCACAGACTGTTTTTTTTTTTTCTTTTGAGAAAGTTGATTTCTCAGTTCATGACCCCTTTTAAAAGTAGTGATGCACCAAAATTTCAATAAACAAGAATATTCAGCGCAAAAAAAAAGGTTTCAGCCCGAACCCTTGACCAAAACAGTGACAAAACCAGTTAATTAGCATTTCTCCAAAGGTGCGTACACACAATGTGGATAAGCTACGACAAGTAAAAACGTCAGCCGTGTGGATGCAATTCACTGTGACCAAAAATGATGTTAGAATAGCAAATGTAAAATCTGTATGGCTGCAAATGTCAAAAGGCGGCTACAACACTACTGCATTGATTTCGGTGCATCACTACTGGTAAAAACCTGTAGGCCTACACCTCTACTCCTGAAAACCTATCCATTAGAAATCGCATTCATCTCAATGCCAGTTTGCTTCGTGTAGGACCCCTTATAAGCATCCAATTTGAAATCCACCACCTTTGCTCATTGCAGCTCAGATTTAGCCTCCAGACTGCAGGCAACACCACTGTCTCCTTCCTGATTCCTGCAGTGGCCATGCGTTCTATGCTGTGCAATGTTATGTGAAGTTTTGCCTGACCTCTCCTCTGTATGACGGTCAGCTGGCAAAAAAATCAAAACCTGCTGCAACGCCCTGGAGCACATTTCTACTTGTCATGCTAGGCAGTGTCCCGCTCCTTCTCAGCAGGAGCCAAGGGGCAGTCAAATGAGCTCAACGTGGCTTATCTGCACGTCAGATGCATCACACTGTTGTTATTGAAATTCAGACTTGCTTGAGGAATGATGTATGGAACTGCAGAAATGAGTGAACAGAAGAATGCAGTTTGTTAATGGACCACAGAAGCCACCAGACCATGTCAAAATACCAATTCACAGGACAGGCGCTTCTGATAATGAGTGATGTAATGGCTGACAGTCAGAAAATTCAAAAGAACATCTGATCTTTCTTCACAGAGCAAACATTCTTTGCCATTTACACTTGACATTTTGCAAATATTTCAGAACAAGGTCTGAATCAAAGGTCATTTCTTGTTTGTCTAATTTTGTACTTGGAGATCAAGCACATTTGCGAGGATGAGGTCATTGGCATGTTGAGCTCATTTATTGTAGCTCATTCTTTCAGCATTTATTCCACCACATTTCATCAGCAAAGAGCCAAATAAAGCACACTAGGAGCATACTAGAACTGTGCATGCTAAGCAAATAACATACTACAGATACTCTCTGTTGGGAGTATTGAAGCATAACTCAATTACGCTCAATTAGATCACCTCCTTTTCTGAGAGCAATAAACAACCACAATGGGTAATTACAAGGGAAGCAGACAAGAGCTGTTTCAGACACAAACTCATATAAAACTTCACAGGGGCCTTTGTCTCAGCGGCTTCATTCTGGGCTTCAAACTGGACCAAGATGTCTACTGTTCCCTCCCACCTCTCAGTAAAAGTGACAACAAACAATGGGGTTGCCATGGTAAAAGCGGAGCCCTCTGCCTCAGCACGACAGTGGATTAGTCAGTGTGTCAGTTCTGCTAGTAGCATTTCCTCCAAATGTCCTGCATTCTCACCAAAAGCACAATTGCTAATGCTTGCTAGGTGTGTTAAGATTAGATTCAGCCATCGGTGTGTACTAAGGAGCTTTTCTGGAAAATATTAACTGTAGAAACTTGCAATTTACATATCATCGGAAGACATGCAGAGGCAGCACTCTACATGTATTTCTTAGAAGGATTCTTTATACTATGATGTGGCTTTCAAGTGGGCATTGCAAACAAATAATGTTAGATCTTTCCTCAGATCTAACTGCACTTTACTTTGGTCTTGAGGTTGTTTTTAGTGGATACACGAAGACAGCTTTCTCGTAAATCCTACTTGGTTTGATATTTTGTTATATAAATGCATGTATTTTTAAGGGTGCTACTGCATCTCACTCACCAGCCTCTCCATTTCTTGCTCCCTGAGTCGTTCTTCTCTTTGGCGCCGGTGGTACTCCAGAAGGTCATCCTCGTTGTCGCTGATCTCTGTGATGCTATTCTTGCGCTCCCTCATGCCAGGGTGAGGCATCCGAAGGTCCCTGTGGCCCGCTGACATCTTTCTGTGGCTCCTAGGACTGGATCGGGGCGATGACCCAGGCAGAGAGCCCAGGCTGAATGCAGAAGAGAGCGAGTTCCCAAAACTGCCCTTCCGTCCACTGCCTTCCCCCATCAGTCCGGAGGTGGGTGAAGGACTACGAGCACGCACCCCACGAGGGCTGAATGGCTCCTCTGTAGGAGACCCTGCTTTCCGCCTGAGTCTGGGACTCTCTGGCACCATTCGTGGGGATGGACTCTCTGGAGTCCGCAGGGTTCCCGGTAGAGCTCCGGGGAGCACAGGAACCCCCCTGCGAGCTATAGAGGGGCTAAGAGGAGGAAGCTCCCTCATGCTACTCCCTTCAAGATTCCTGCGGGCCAGCCGCGGACTTTCTGGAGGCTGCAATGTGCGAGGATGTGGGTGTGGAGGTCCACCCTGAATGATGTGGACAATGGGGTCCAAGGGGGGCTGGAAAGATCGCGAGGGTGGGGAGAGTTGATTAGAGGGGATAGAGGTCAAGGAGCAATCTGGCTGAGGCTGCTCCCGCAAAGGGCTTGAGGGCCGATCCTGGAGAACAATGGCAGTTTTGGTTCTAGAACTAGAGGGCGAGGAGGATGGGGATGCGGTTGAGAATTTGGGGGTCAGTCTGGGACTACCTGGAACTGGAACCCGACTGACAGATGAATGATCAGTCGGAGCAGTAGAGATTGAGACTGAGGGCAGAATGTGAGTCTGTATGGGGCTGTCTGGGGTTTTAGCCACCGAGCTGTCTTGGTTCAACCCCCAACGACTTGGCTTTGGGCTTGGCGGTGCTTCTAAAAGAGCTTTTCGCTGGAGTTTGGGACTCTCAGGCACCTTTGGCCCTCTGTTGCCACCGGAATAGCTGGGCAGTATGGTTCGTGGCTGAGGTATGGGTGGCTGGCTGGTGTAATTGTAACTAGAAGACCTCACTGGCACAGGAGGAAGCGTGTAAAGCTGGTTCTGACAACCACTTGGAGATGGACTGGTGTAGCTGGATGGGGATGAGAGAGGAGAGAAAGGAGGAGAGGTATTCTCATAACTGGAGCCCACAGACATAGCACCAGGGCTCGTTGGGGGTGAGAGAAGGAAGCGCCCCCCTCCATTTAACATGGGGGACAAGGGAGACTGGGAGATGGGCAGACCAGAGGGCTTCTTTGACTCAGAGGAAGAGGGCTGAGGGTCATCCATGACTAATGAGTCCATAATGTCCTGAAGGTCCTTCTCAATGGAACTGACGATGGCACTGTGCTCAGGGCGCACTCTCTTGTTGGAGACCAAGTGAGATTTTGGCACTCCTGACGAGTGGTTCCCATTGATCAGGTTCTCAGAATCTGAAAGAAAAGATAACAGTCATAAGCCTTTGCCATATACAAAAATCTAAATACATATCTTTTAGAACAGCTAAGGTGTAGCTGTAATTAATTAATGAATCAAATCTTTCTTCTGAATCAGTGGAAATGGTTCACAAAACCAGTATGAATGATTGGTTCACACATAATATTGAAAGGATTTTTAGTCAACAACTCACCAAATCACTGGAGAACAGTCTTTTTTCAAAATAATGGACAAGCTGATAATGAGTAGTTGGACAGTATTAAAGGATTTAACTGATGGGTAAATGTAAGTAACTTTAGTCGTATAGCAGAAATGTTACAATGATAATGAAAGAGGTGGTTTTCAATAAACAGCTTTTATAGAAGCTTTAGTCCAAAAAATTAAGTGAATTTTTTATTGTTTCATATAAATGCTAATAATATTAAGGTTTCAAATCACTTAAATGTAATATAAAACCCATAGTAAAACCACCATGTGTGCTTTCATATATCTTTACTTGACCATGAATGCAACGTCAAGATGATAGAGACCATGTGATGTCATTACTTCATGATGTAGGAAAAAAAATGCTGGACTGGTTAACTGAAACAATTCGAAAGAATCGATTCTCAATAATGATTCAGAATTCCCATCACTAGCCAGCAGAGCCCAACAGAGTGCAGAAAACAGGAAAAGCACTTACGAGTAAGTGGATGCATTTGGCTTCTTCACCCCACCTAACCCCAACTATTATCCTCAGTACTACACCTGAGCTTTTAATGCAAGTACCTGCAGCTCTTTTGGCACTGCAGAGATGAATTTAATCCATTAGCCCCATTCAACAGCCTCCAAGTTTAACACTGCTGCCAAACCCACAGAAGATGAATGCTCAAGTAGAAATAGTGGTTACCAAATGGAAATTCAGAGAGAAAGTATGCCAGGCTCCAGCCTGAGAGGAAAAACGTCAAATTAATATGTGCTCATATACCTAAATCATAGAGAGCCCCGCTGGTAATTCAATCTATTTCTCAGGCAACTGACCATTTCCAATGTAAATGGTTCATCTGCTGAGACAGACCCACATAGTAAAAATGGTCATTATCTAAACCAGTGGTTTTCAAACTGGGGTCCGGGAAACCCCAGGGGGGCTGCAAGTGGGAGCTAGGGGCTGTAAGGTAATATTATTGTAATAATCTCTGTAAATCTTTATTGGAACAATTTTAACAGTGAAAAGCAATTTAGATCAAATAAATTTGATTAAATTCAAAATAGAATTTTACTGAAAATACTTATCCACAAGTTTAAACATATAACACTAGTCTAATAGTGGAAAGATCAACTTAATAAAAAAGTATTATTCATTTGCTTTGGTTTTATAGAATTACAATACTAAAGCCAATTATTTGATTTTGAACACAAGACGTTTTGTAATTTGATGCTAATTATGTTTCTCAGACAGTATACATGGGCCTGATAACATTTAAATACAAAGCTGATTTTATAATTTAGGAAAGGGTGCAGCAAAGAGGGCTTTGACTTCACAAAAGTTTGATAACCTCTGGTCTAATCCACTGTATTAAAAAAAAAAGCCAAAATAATGCCCAATTCATGATTTTCCCCCTCAATTCATCAGAACATTATTATTTTTCATAAAACACTCCAGATGTAAACGATTTAACACTGCATCAAACTTATTAGATAGGTGCTATATATACATAAGACATAAGTAATATATAAACATATACATAAGATTCTGAGTCAGTCACAGAACTGATTTCACAACATCCAAAACTTGATCAATCTTGTTCTTGCCTGCTCAGTGTTTGCGTTTCTGCCACAAATCTCTCCTGATTACAAAACACTCTCTGTTCAAACTCCTCACAAATAATGCATACAACACAACCCCCTTTCCAAGTGTTGTTATTTATTATTATTTTTATAGTCATCGTGGTTTAGAAATAAGTCAAGCAACTGAGGATGCCTCTGGCTCAATTTTCCATTTAAATCCCACTGAGAAAGAAACGGTTTCAAGAAAGCACAAGCACATAGATACAATGATTATTGAGAAAGACCTTTCATGACAAAATGAAACATGTCAACTTGACAAGTAGCGACTATAAAAGGATACATATGCTACATACAGTATGTCCGTATACACACACATATACAGACTATATAACGATCAGTACTTACAGATGAGAACACGCCTGTGGAAACGCTAAGCCGCTGCGCTTGGTTTATAACCCATAACCGACCTCAGTATCAAAAGTACGGCTCCCGCATTCCGGTTCTCGAACTAGGCCAGCTGCACCGGCCACACGGTTCCCAGGCAGGAGTATAAAACGCCGCAGATGAGATATTCCAGCCGGGCTTGGTGAGCCTGGCGCCGCTACACCATCGCTGAATCCCCCTCCCTCCCCTGTCCACGGTGCTGATGTGACTGACTGCTGGCTGCACGGGGCGGGGCCTACACTCTTAAAGCGACAGTGCACATTTTGAAGATAAATTCACATGGACACTGATGTGACTGTGAGTTTAAATAAAAAAATTAAAAAAGTTTCTTTGATTATCAAAATATTTAATATGAGAATTTCTAAACTGGCAGCTGATATGCAGTATATAGTAGCTAAGTAATTAATATAATATAATATAATATTATTTTATTTTATTTTAGTTGCCAAGTAATAAGTGGTATAATGTAGACAGACACAGCAATAAAAGTGTATCTGTTAATATATCGCACACTTCTCTGAGTAATATTGAAATATCATCAAGAACATCAAGCAGACCTGCTGTGTGGGAACGAGGCAGCCGGATATTGGGAGAATATGAGGGGAACAGTGAGGAGGGGATTGGAGAGCAGGGTGGGTGGTGAGATAAATATAGATAGTGTAAAAGATACCCCTCAACTTTAAATAAGCAGAGCATGGCCAACAAAGCTGTCTGGACTGGAAGAGAGATGGATGAGGAAATAGCTCTGGCACAGAGAACGTGTGAAGGGGGGTTTCTTTTCCTCTATGAATCAGTCTGTAAACAAATATCAGTTGCCAAAAGCACATGGACAGCTTTATATACATGCCTTATGTGCAAGTGCTGAGATCCATGCATCTTAAATGGATAGCCCACCCCAAAATCTTCTGAAGGTATTTTGAAGAATGTTGATAACTGGTAGCCATTGACTTCCATAGAATATTTTTCCATACTATGGAAGTCAACAGCTACCAGCAACTGTTTGGAACAACTTTAGGGTGAGTAAGAATTTTCCTTTTTGGGTGAACTATCCCTTTAAGGTGCATGTATCTAAGCTCTTGTACAAAAGGCATGTCCATAAAGCTGTCCATGTGCTTTTGGCATCTGGAATTTGTTTAAAGACTGATTTATAGAGTCTGAAAAAACTTAATTCTTTTAGCTATGTAGTTTTAGATCATTAAGGCACTGGGAAAATAAGAAACACAAATATATATTGAACAGGAATGCAGCGGGTAGTTTGTTTGCAAAAAGAATGTCTTTCATGGTGGAGAGAATTTATTACCAGCTCAGAAAATATACTGCACCAGCTGTGTTTAAATGCTATTCTTGTACTTTTCTGCCACACAACAGGAAAAGTCAGGAAAACACCTCAATACATATTGTAAATGTGCTCTGTTTAAACACTGGCTGCTGTGTAGCACTGTGAGTGGGAGTGGAAGATGTAGAGCGCTCTGTCAGGAGACCCAGGGGAATGAGCTCCTCATAAAAGTTGCATGGTGCAACTCAGGACCCAGGCAAGCTTGCATTGCTAACAGTTAGAAACGGAAATGTAGTAAGGCCCAGCTGAAAGCCACTACCTGTGCTACTAAAACAAACCTTGCCATTCAGGCATGTGGCAACAACCTATAAGACCAAATCTGCATAAATGGCCCATTTGTAAATGTGCATCCGTTTCTTATAGCACTTACACAAGAAATAGGTGCTTGTTTGTTTATTTTTAAACATGATATATACATAAAAGACATCTATATGCAACAGAGTGTGTAATATCACAAATGCTCTTCTGTATTGTGATTTCAGACAGTACAAAATTAAAGTTCTACAGGAATGTATTTTCCACACAAATGACATCCTGCACAACATAGCCTTTGAGTGCGTTGTGGTAAGTGTTGGATAATTCATGCCACAGTTGAGGTGTGTTCTCCTGTGGGATATTGCATTACCTGTGTGGGCCCAGTTTTTCACACTGGCTGTCTGTCCTCCCTCAGACATCATGCTTTTCATTCGGAAAGCCTCCTCGGGGTGGTTGAAACGGAAAAAGGCAGATTGGCCGAAACACAGCATACAGCCTGCACACAAAGCAAAACCACTTTTAATGAAGCTGAGAATGAAAATGCATCAAACATATGCCTGAAGAAGTATTTCAAATGATCTTGACTAGGATCCTGGCAGTTTTAGACCAGTTTCGTACCACTGTGTGAGAGGTACGGAGGGGGAAAGGAATGTTTGCCCCTGTTTTACATGAACAAGCAGGAACATCTCACACTGTGGCGTCGGATCAGACTCCTGGCTTGCTGAGTCAGGGGAAAAACAGACAAGCCAAACGCTGGTAGTGAAGCCAGTTAAAGTCAACATGAGATCTAAATTAACTCTATTTAATACATACATGTTTTCCTGGACTTATGATGAATGATATCTTTATTATCATGCAACCTTCTGATCATTTTAAACAAATAAATCAATTTTCAATGGATCAGATCAAGTCTTGCCCTATATATTGGCTTTTTTATATATAAACTGGTACCATATTGGCCAATATCAGTGATTTAAAAAGTCAGTATTGAATATATATTGATATTGTATATTTATTCATGCATGCTCATTTCTGAGCAATGCAGTTGTCTTAATTCATTATCTCTGCTTATGCAGAAAGAGATTTAATTAATTTAATATATAATTAATTTGTGGTTTTCTTATTTGGCATTTATCACTTGTGAATGCTGTTTCATCTTGGCTTTAACTGAGAGGCATATACAAAAAATATTTTGTCGTCACTAATGGAAAATTGACAATCTATAAATTTGTTTATCATAATATATAAAGCATATATAAAGAAAACACCACTTATGTATACAATTACATTGTAATCTCATGCAAAATAAAATGAAAAGCTGATTTTTAAATCCTGCTCTACTTCGCTATCGCTACCATATCAGCCAATATTAGTGATTTAAAATAATAATAAAAAATATACATTCTACAACATTCTAATCTTAATTACACAAAACAATGCAAAAAATAGCTATTTTGCTATATTAAACTGCCAGAGCTAATCTGGCCAATCACCATATTTATTCAAGGTAGGTAAAGGTCTCATGGAAACCTTTTCAGCTGGAGCAGATGTGTGATGAATGCGGAGTGCTAGATGCCCTTTTGTTCCAGGCAGAACATTTGATTACCCCTCAGGTTCTGACAAGGCAAGGTACGATTAGAGCACGCAAAGAAAACTAAGATCCTCTGTAGTAAACTAAATTGTGTGCTTAAGTGGTATTCTCACATAGACGTCTTTTCTTTCATGTTGTTACTGAATAGAAGAATGAGGATTGTTAACTGATGGTGGTGGTTGTCATAAAAAGACTCTTCTAGGATTGTTCAAGTCTTGACATGCTCCGCTTGCACATTCAAAGACAAGTAGGCGAAACGAAACAAGCAAATGAAAATACACAAAGCACGTGTTGAACAGAAAGTTATAGTAGTGTTTTAATTAACAGACTTGTTTACATGCTTGCTCATAAAATGTTTTATTTGAAATAACAGTATTTTGAGGTCTGTGGTGTAAACCACATCAGTGAGACGTCCTGTTTTTTGCCTAGTCAAAATCATATTTGAGTGCTTTTACAGACAATAACTGTGGCATCTGCTGCATCAGCACGATCCACCGACCAGCTCAAACATTACTGACAAGCAGCAGGACCAAATAACAAACTCACATGCGACAGCAGCTTCACTGCCTTCCTATTTTGCGCTACATGCATTGTGCTCAAATTAGTCATTGTAAAAATGTGCCATTAAAAATGACGCACAGAAGATAATTGAGTTATGTGGTAAATACACGCGTGTGATGGCAAGCAAACTTGTGCAACTCATCTGCACAGCTGTAAGAGAAAAAGTTTGCAAAACTTTAAAATTACTTGTGTGCAAGATGTTATCCTCAAAACACATCACATGTTCCATCAGATCAGAGCCTATGGTGCTTGTGTTGGTTTAACAAAGGCAAAATACTGTTATTGGACACATTTAGTTTAGAGGGGTTTTCTCTATAAAATAACTTTGACCAGTATTGTATTTATCGTACCGTATCGTAGTGTACTGTATCTCATCATATAATACTATATCATATCTATCGTACCGTACTGTATTGTATCATACCGTATCTATCTATCTATCTATCTATCTATCTATGTACTCTCTCTATCTATGAATCTATGAATCTATATGAATCTATATGAATCTATGAATTTTTCTTTCTTTCTTTCTTTCTTTCTATTTATCTATCTACATACTCTCTCTCTCTCTCTCTCTCTATGAATCTATATGAATCTATGACTATGAATCTTTCTTTCTTTCTATCTATCTATCTATCTATCTATCTATCTATCTATCTATCTATCTATCTATCTATCTATCTATCTATCTACTCTGTCTCTCTCTCTCTCTCTCTCTCTTTCTCTCTATCTATCTACTCTCTCTCTCTCGCTCTCTATCTATCTATTTATCTATCTATCTAGCTACTCTGTCTCTCTCTCTCTATCTATCTATCTATCTATTCTCTCTCTCTCTATCTATGAATCTATATGAATTTTTCTTTCTTTTTATCTATCTATCTATCTATCTATCTATCTATCTATCTATCTATCTATCTATCTATCTA